AAAACCCAAGTACAACCAGAGGTATCCACGGCGCTGCCATTCTTCGTCGACGTCACCAGAGATAAGAACTTGCTCGGGAATGTCCCAGTCCACCATGTCGAACGTTCCCCGTCACCTGTTCCGTCCGATTCGAGCGAAGAGGTAATTTTTTTAGGGGCCGTAATAAGACAGCTGGAATTAAAAAGAAACAGAAGCAAAAGACGAAACAGAGATCTTTCAACCTGGGCGGTATTGAAACAGAGCTCAAAGTCGTGGAGAAGACTTTTAGGACCAGGGAGAAGAGTAGCATTGGAGAGCCAGGAAAAGCCCGTCTCAACCTGCCACGGCAATCTCGACAAGATTCAAGGGCCCAGAATCGCCAGGAAGAGGACGACGTGATTGCTGACTACATCGCCAACATGCGTGAATATGGCGATGACGAAGGATTGATTCCTGCGCAAGCCTATTCCTGCCGAGATATCGGAGGTTCCCTTAGCGAGTCTGAGGACATTGAAGAGTCGTTCCAAACCCTCCCCGCTCCTGACGAGGCAACTATTGTGCTGGGAGATAAACAGCTGGGCGAAACGGGGCCGGAAGCGGAGATCATGGCCCGCGCAGTAGACGCAGAACTGTCACAGAAGGCTCAGAAACACTCGGTTCGGGGCAACACAACACGAGTCGACGATGCTCTTTTAACAGCTCTTGAAACTGACGTCTCGTACCCGGGCTCCTTCGATCAATCTCTTGCAGAGGACGTATCCCCACAATCCGAAACAACCGACCAGGAGGATATAGAGGATGATGTATTTGCCTCAACAGCAGATCAGTTCGCTAATGAGGTCGACGACTTCGATTTTATGGATTGGAACCGTCCGGCGCTGAAGCGCAAGGGCAAGGGAGCCAAAGGAAAGGTTCCTGTGTTCGACATTTCGGATTCAGAGCTCGAGGGTAAGATGCAGGCGGCATGGAAGAACGACCGGTTGAGAAAAGCGGAGAGAAAGAAGGAACGACAGGCTCTTCGTACCCAAGGTCTGCTGGGTAAACACGCCAACCCGGAAGACTTGCGTATCAAGTATCCGCACGGTATGGCGCTGGATCAGATCGCCGACGAGCTGAGGGCGTTTCTTTTGGGCACTCAGCCAAGGTGAGCTTTTCTTGGTGACTGCGTAACTCCGACCCCGATATCTAATCCTTATTTGCAGTTTGACGTTGCCGCCCATGGACAACCATGCTCGAAAAGTTATACATGAGCTCGCCAGCAAGTTCAATATCAAGTCTAAGTCAACTGGATCGGGTGACCAACGGCGGCCCATGTTGTACCGTACTTGCAGAACCGCCAAATTTGCCGACGAGACATTTGATATTGCGATTGCCAGGGTCGGGCGAAAGCATTTCTCTCGCAACGATACGGCGGTGCGGGCCGCTGTTCAGCGGCAGTCGGCACGACGTGGCGGCGGCCATGCGGGTGTCGTCTATCGAGATGGTGAGGTTGTCGGTGGATCTGCGCCAGAATTGGGCCAAGAGAACAAAGGACGCGCGATGCTTGAAAGAATGGGTTGGAGCAGCGGCACCGCCCTTGGTGCGCTGGACAACAAGGGCATCCTACAACCAGTCGTCCATGTTGTCAAACGTAGTAAGGCCGGCCTTGGATAGCGATCGCGTCGCGTTGGCGTTTTGTCGCGTCGGGTGTGAAATATCTAGATTTGCTGCGGTGGGCAACCTCGGAGTTAGAACGCAGCACAGATATCGTGGATCGCATGATGGGCCAGCTATTATGTCCATGTGTACGAATTCATTCGTCCGAAAACCCTATTCTCAAGGTGTATTGTACAGCCCGCGAACCCCGTTTGACCGTGAAGACATTGCCCCCAAAAAAGCAAACCATCCGTAACGCATTAAGAGACTCCAAGGATATTGGTAACCTTGACAGGTCTCATCATGACACCCAAATGCCAAGTAAAATCCAATGCCCGAAAAGAAAAGCAGTACAAGCATCCCTTATTTCGTGGAAGAGGAGTACTTGGTGACGGCCTTGGTGCCTTCCGAGACGGCGTGCTTGGCCAGCTCACCGGGCAGGATGAGACGGACACTATCGAGTGAGTCAGTTGAATGTAGCGCGACGAGCGCAATGTGGGCATAACATACGAGGTCTGGATCTCGCGGGAGGAGATGGTGGACTTCTTGTTGTAGGCGGCCAGCTTGGAGGCCTCGGAGGCGACACGCTCGAAAATGTCTGCAGGTTGTGTTAGAAAACCCCTTGTCAGTGCTTCTCGATACTGCTTACCGTTGACGAAGGAGTTGAGGATAGACATGGCACGGTTGGAAATACCAGTGTCAGGGTGGACCTGCTTCAGGACTGGAGGTGTGTCAGCGGATATTGCATGTGCGCGGGGTGTCTGGGGAGCCATCCTCGACCTGCCAGGTCACGTCACAAACGATTTGTGCAAGAGTCACTTACCCTTGTAAATGTAAGAAGAGTAGGTCTCCTTGCGGGACTTAGTGCGCTTCTTCTTGTCGCCAGAGGCGGCGGTCTTCTTGCCAGCATCCTTCTTCTCGGGAGCCTTGGAGGCGGTGGCGGGGGCCTTAGAGGCGGGCTTCTTGTCGGCGGCCTTGGGGGGCATTTTTGCGGTTTAGGTTGGAAGTGGGAAAAGTGGGAAGTGTTGTTATTGAGATTTGGGTGGAAATGAGATGCGCGGTTTTTGATCGTGGGTAAGGCAGGATAATGAGAGGTGGGAGAGTTGTTGTCGGAAGAAGAAATCGGGGGGTGGGTTGGGTTTTTGTAGCTGGACGCGACGGGCTCTAGCAGCATTACTGATTTGATGCGAGGACAGAGTGATTCGGGGAGGGGTGGGTGGTCAGTGAGGCAGTGGTCCGGGGGGTGCGCTTGTCTTGCAGCAGGGGGAGGGTTTGGCAAAGAGCTACTTTGGTTGGCTAATATGGCTCTCACAGTGGGGCCTTCCGGCATCACGATAGCGGCTGCCGTCCATGTACTGGGGCACAAAGAGACGCGTTCGCGCTAAGAAATGCGTGCAGGCAAAGTTTGGCAGCCATTTTTATTTTTATTTCCCATTTCGCGTGTCAGACAGGCTGGGGGAGAGAAAGCAGGCTACTGAGAACCAATGACATTGTCGCGTCTCCACCCAACCTATATATTTTTTTCCTCACGATTCGCTCTCTTGAGACGCAACCGGGGAGCAATTTCCATTTCCCAGTCAGTTTATTTCCTGGGGAAACATGAATAGTACATACCCACTGTCGCGCGCTGACGACGCGAACATCAGAGCGCGTTGCCTCGTTCACTTTCATGGTTCCGAGTGGCAGGCTTCGGTCTGTCACATGTGTACATGTCTGCCACTTTGTCTGTCTGTCATTATATTAGGCGGTAGAGCGAGCAATCCTAATGGCTCGTGTCTTGATGCCCATATTGAGCCGGGAGGGGGGTTTGGGAGTGTCGGCGTGAAAGACTTTCACAACAGGGAGTCGTGTTTTTCTCGCAATAAGCGACCTCAACTGTAGCATTAGGCTAACCTACAATCCGCGGAGCCTCCATGGGCAGTTGGACATGTGTGGCGTGCCTGGCCTCTCCTCGCCCAGTCCCCTTGACGTGTCCACGATCCATGCTCAGTCGTATGAGCGCGGCGCCGGCTATCGCTGGACTGGATCACTCTGGGCCCACACCACTGTCCGCGCCGTCTCCTGTCTGGATATGCAGCTCTGGATCCTACTCCGGGGTGGCTTGGTCTCTTTGATAGACCCCTAGCATCAGAGGCCATGACCAGTCAGGGGAATGGACCAGACACACTGCCCAGCTACGGATACCCAAGCCATCAAGTCTAGGACGCGACGCGTCTTCCACGACCAGCTAATGAGGGAGAAGGCAATTCAGTGGGTTCTCTAGAATGACAGCCCCTCCACTGCTGCTGCCGCGCAAGGCTGAATCTGATTTTACCAACTTACATCGCGAATGTCATACAGGGGGGGGCCGCCGGATAAGGCTATGTTTATGTGTGCGCCAGACCAGGCACAAGAGAGAGCATAATGATGAGCCGTATAAGACCCAGATGCCCGGGTCCGGTGAAGATGCATTGAACAAGACCGCACCGCACCTTTTGTAGCCTAGTTGGGCTGACCACCGCTTTCCGACATATGTGGTATCAATTTCAGACGTGCGTTTACCTTCTTTCGTGAACTTCATTCCGGTCTTCCTACCGTACCACGAATTCAGGTCATGCTTGATCCCGGATGAACTACAAAACGATACAGATATCAATGTTTTCATAGCAAAATCTGGTACGCTTGGGTTCAAATAACGCACGTACACCGACTAGCATGCGGGAGTGATCTCACCATCCAAGAATGTTTGAACGATTCCAACGAACAATTGAAGCATCAGCCCCAATGCCCAGAGGGGTTTGGCTGATTGTGTCTTCGTGTTTTATTTTTCTTGAACAAGGAAATGGAGCCAAAAGGAGGCTTTAACTGAGGATAGGTTTACACCAAAAGGATTGTGGGAGAATGATTTCTCTGCAATAAGATTTAAAATAAAAAAAAATAAAAAAAAAAACCTGCAGGACGCGCAATTAGGATAGCATAGGAAAATTAGAACGATCGGAGCGCCTGCTTTTCTTGACCAGTCAAATTAATCAGGGGAGAGGAGAGACAAGCACAACATGTAAAAAGAGGTAATAGGGAGGAACGTATGGTTGTAATTCTGGGGTGGATAAGTACGGCGGGCCTCCCGGGGCTTTTATTTCCCTGTCTTGTGGTGCCCGTGCTTGCATGGGCATGCACCAGCGTAGTGGTGACTAGCCCGTCTTAGTTCCTTGCTCCACGCGAGATCGATTAGAGAGCGGGTACGTACCTCCTGCCGTGGGCCCCAGAGAAAATGATGCACCACAACATGAATGAATTTCTGGTTTCGGCTTAGCGCCAAGTCGCGCGCTGGTGATCCGTGATTGAGCTCCTCCAACGCGAAAACTACTTAACTTCTTGACTCCCCACCATCTTCCCTCTCATCCGTCTCCATCTCACTTTTCCATCTACAATCAGCAGCCAGCATCCAGCCTAGTCGCTTTTCTCGCGTCACGCAAATAATACCCAACTTTTCCCCCTTTCTCAACCCAAAAAAACCCACATTCACAATGACTGGAGGCGGCAAGTCCGGCGGCAAGGCCAGCGGTTCTAAGAACGCGCAATCGTAAGTTTTTGCCGTACACCAATCCTGCCACTGTCTATTTGACCATGGCGCGTGGGCCATGACCGGACGCCAGCGTACGGGTTTCAGCTGACACATCTCTAGCCGTTCCTCCAAGGCCGGTCTCGCTTTCCCCGTTGGCCGTGTTCACCGTCTGCTTCGCAAGGGCAACTATGCTCAGCGTGTTGGTGCTGGTGCTCCCGTGTACCTCGCCGCCGTTCTCGAGTACCTTGCCGCTGAGATTCTCGAGCTCGCAGGCAATGCTGCCCGCGACAACAAGAAGACCCGTATCATCCCCCGTCATCTTCAGCTCGCCATCCGCAACGATGAGGAGCTGAACAAGCTTTTGGGTCACGTTACGATTGCCCAGGGTGGTGTTCTGCCCAACATTCACCAGAGTAAGTCTCTCGAGGCGCTCCATCCGAACATGAATCTGACTTCGTACCAGACCTGCTGCCCAAGAAGACCGGAAAGGGTGGCAAGAACCAGAGCCAAGAGCTGTAAATGGGTATCTAGGGTTTGGGTTTCTTTCGTGCTGGTCGGCTGCTTTGGGTTGTCATGACATCGGGGTCACGGTTCAGGGTTCACGGTTGATTTTCACGTTTGGGTTGTACAATAATACCACGGCAGGAAGCTGCGGTTACGAATGAGAATACCTTTGAAGATCATTTATTTTTCCTAACCGTTACATTCGCCCGACATGCCATTTGACTGATGGTCGTCCGTTCTGCCACGCTGAACCTTCCCGTATAGAGTGCAAACGCAAGTGCCCTTTCCAAGGAGTCTTGATTTCAATGTCTCGGCCCATCGGGTATGTATTGAATACAAGCCAAGCGCATCGGCCTAATGTGAGCGGAATACCCCATCCACATGGCTAATCGTATACAGCGCATTACATTCGTTTGGCCACTGGGGTTATTTTATTGTTTATTCGCTGCGCGCAATAGCCGTATTATGTAAACTTGACCTGCACGCTAGGAGGTGCGGGCTGTATCGCCCCGGAAGCGTAGCGCATGGACCGGCAGGATCGCAATGTACACAGACTAGAACCTGTTGTCAACATTATAAGGCATTTCATTCTGCCGGTGATGCGGTGCAGGTCCTGCAGTCCGACTCAATGCATTGGACCGGTGCCCCTCGAAGTAAACCCTTGTCTGTACATGTTGACAACCAAATGAACTGTTCCAGTCGCTCCAATCCCGTACCTCGTCGCTTAGAATTTCAATGGGGGAGGCGCTGTCCACGAGTTAGCATAGATGTCATCAGTCTGATGGACAACCAGGAACTAACCATCCAGTATAGGTGCACGAAGATTGCGCTCATATTTAGACCCTGTGATCCGATCGTCAGCGTCATTGTTCCACTAAGCAAATACCTCTTAGTTGGGGCTACAAACCGCCAGGTGCGGTCGGGTGCACATAGGGTTCTGGGTGCTTCCACTTTGCCAATAAGCTCTCTGTCTGAGTCAAGAGCTCCTAGTTATTAAACTGTTAGCGAGGTTCGTCGCAACAGAATCTGCACAAGTGGGCAGAAAATTGAATTCGGGTCCTCCCTCACCCTCTTCTGTCGAGAATCTGTCACATTTCGGTTTGCCTCGAACAGTGACCGGATATAGAGCGCCTGGCCTCTCCAAAGGTGACGATGAACGGCCCAGTCAAGTGCCAGCTTCAGTGACCGGCGGTACAAGGACCTAACGGGAAAATATTAGCTGCAAGGCTGGTTCGGAATCGGTCGCTGTTGGCATTGAAGGCTCACAGTGCCGCTTGACGGGTCGACATAGTGGAATCCTAATGTCAACGCGATCGCGTCGATGGAGAATTGAGCGTCCGTAGGGGAGTAATGCAGAGTTGCGGGCGTTGATTCGGGTGCATTGAATAGACGAATGGCTATTAATGAGCTATCGAGAAGTACGAAGGCCAGTTAATCTAGTGTTCAGGATCATGATAACCAGGCTGCAACATGGCTAGTGGACCCCGGAACAATAGAGAACCCGATGGAGCCTAAGGCCGCAGCCTAATGTGTTGGCAGAGTCCAAAACCTACCTTTTTGTCTATATACAACAAGATTAAAAACATAACACTAAACAAAAAAAGAGTATACTATTCTAAGAATTAAGGAATTATATATATACTTATTAAATATATTATAGATAAAATAGTATAATAAAATAAGTATAAATATAGACCTAAGATATATATATAGTAAGTTATATATTATAAAGAGCTATATACCTTAAGAAGAGTAAGGTTTTTAAGCTAGACTATAAGAAAAACACTATTAAAGAATTATAAAGGCCTTTACTTATTATATAATAGTGTTTTAATAAATAGCTTTATTAGATATTAAGGTTTAAAGACCTTATATATATAAAAATAAGATAATAATATAATAAAGAAGTAGAATATATATTACAGTATTAATAATACTGTATACACTATATACACTAGATATAAGAATAACTACTTAGAAAACGGCTATATATACTATATAATAATAGTATTTATATATAAAGAATAGGTCTTTTAAGTAAGACCTCCTCTTTCTCTAAGGAATTAAGAATACAGTTCTAGGTTACATAAGGTAAATAGATAAAACAATACCCTACTGCAGGTAAAACAATACCCTGCAACTTAACCTATTTAATAACCTACCTAATAACCTACTTAATAACCTAGAATACTAAAGAAATCCTTAGAATACCTAAGAGATAAGTATAAGTAATCCCCTTATATCCCTAGGTCTAGTTAGATAGTTAGATCTATAAGCTCTTCTATTATATCTATAACAATATACTACCTTTATATCTTATCTCCTATCTCCTATCTCTTATTTGCCCCTTTTACCTCTAAAAAGCTTAAATAAAAATATAATACTTTTCTTAAATATATAGCTTACTATATATTATAGACTAAAGCTATAGTAAATATAGTAAGACTTTACTTACTATAATATATATATATAGTAAGTAGTATACTTCCTCTTTAGTTCTACTATCTTTATCTTTATTTTAACTTTTCTATATATATAATAATAGAATCCTCTCCTTAGGAAACCTAGATTATTTTTATACTTATAGCTATCTAAAAAGACCTATAACTATCTATATAAAAGATAGCCTTTATTTATTAGCTACTTAAATCTATACTCTATTATTAATACACTAGGTAATAATTATAAAGTAAAATATATATAAAATTAATAAAGATAACTATATTAAAAGAGAAGATAATTCTTAAAGAAATTTGTTGTAATGTTGACTATTGTAGATAAATATTAGAGTTATTAGGTTAACCCTAATAACTTATTGCTAGTAAATCCTTAGATATTTAGCTATAGATTCTCTAAGGATTTATAGGCAATAAGTTAGTTATTTAACTAACTAACCTATAATAATTATCCTTCTTTTCTTTATATATAATAAAGAACTATAGTTACCTCTATTATTTATTAATTACTACTAATATATATAGTTAACTATATTAACTTATCCCTTAGTGTTACTAATACTAATTAGTAGTTAACTTTACTATTAACTATATAAGTTAACTTTACTGTCTAAACTATAGATTAGTAAGGACTATAAGAAAAAGTAATTATTATTAGTTAATTATTTATACGCCTAGAGTAGGCAAGGACTAAAAAACGCCTCTGTAAATACTCTTACTATAATATTATACTAATTACCTATTATAATAGGTTAATTAATAGATCTATAACTAGTCCTTTTAACTAGTAGAAACCCTGTTAATTTATGTCTATTATATAAGCTTTATTACCTTTAGAGAAGTACTTTTAACTATAAAAAACCTTTTACTTTATATACTTATAGCTAACTAGTAATTATTTACTATATCTTATTTATTATAAGCTCTTTAGCTTACTAACTTCTTTTTCTTATATATATACTTCTTTTACTAACTAATAGTATTAATAAGTTACTAATATAATAGCCTATTATTTCTCTTCTTTTACTAACTAATAGCGTTAATAAGTAGCTAATATAATAGCCTATTATTTTTTCCTAAGTTATTTACCTATAAGAGTATATTTTTCCCTAGCTGTTTATACTACTAGTAGTAATCTCTTTAATAAATATATATACCTTTTAGTCTACTAGAAGAAACGCCTATATTTAAGAGGTTATTAGGCTAATAGAGGATAACAGTAAATAACACTACGCCTATAAGCAGAAGACCTAAGCTAAGATAAGTAAACAAGATAAGCTTATAAGTAAGAAAGGCTCCTAGGTTACTACACCTTTGCCTATAAGGCAACAAGAAAAGAAAATTTATAGTAAATATAATATACTACTTAATATAGTAGAGAAAATAGTAGTAATAAATAATATTATTACTATACCTTTTACTTTTATATAGTATATTTTTTTACACTAATAAAAGAAAAATTATATTATAAGGTTACTAACTAACCTTATAAAGAAGTAATAGTCTCTTATACTTAACACTATTATTATATTTTACCTTAGTAAATCTAAGTATAATAACTACTTTAGTAGTAAATTACTTTACTATATATAAGAAGACCTTACTAACTAGCTTATTAGTAACTTTAAGGCTATTAACCTAAAGGTCTTAATAGGTCTATATAACTTCCTTGTTAACTATAAAGTATAAGTTAACTATAGTAAATACTTATTAATTACCTAACGTATATTTAATACCTTTTAATAAGAGGAAGACACCTACTAGACTAATAAAATAATTACTATTATTAAAAGATTATTATATAACTTTAGAGAACGCCTTAAAGACTTTAACTTTATTAAAGATATTAAAGGCTATAAGATAATTATATATAGAGTAAAAACAGTTAAAGTACACCTATTACTAGTAACTAGCTACTAAACCTTCTATAATAACCTAACTTTTACCTTACTACTGCCTTTATTAACGCTAAAACCTTAAGTAATAGCTAAAATTAATAGCCTATATATAATAACTACTATACTACTATAAGAGCTTTTATTAACTATAGTAATATTAATAGTAATATTAAGGCTAACACTAAAGTAAATAAGTAACCTTATAAAGATATACTTTAATAACTAGGCTATAAAATATACTAGTAGCTAGTATAAGACTATTAACTTAAAATTACTATTATTTTATAATCTTTATATCTAGGTAGGTATAATATAAGACTACTATAGAGTAGTAATTTAAGTAATACTTTAAGGTAAACTATAAGAGTATTATACCTCTACTTTCTACTAATAGGCAGGTAATTTTAATACTCTAATAGTAAAGCTTAAAGAATAATTTAAAGGTAATAAG